AGGCTCCTATACAACAACTCCATTAGCAGTCACCTCGTGATACAAACTATAAGTGATGCACAACGAGGCTATGGGGGGACACGAACAATGGTCACCAGAATACAGCAAGGTCCTGCATAACCAGACCTAGACAGAGGGACCCGAGGTGTGGTGCCAACTCTCTTCTTCTAGCAGTCTCTGCATTTCTGAGCAATGACTTGTATTTTCTGTGCGGTAATTCTCATATTTACACCAGAAAAGGCTAAACGGTATGATTTCTATTAGCTCTAACTTTCTGCCTTTGTGGTTGAGCTTTCCAATGGTCAACTGTTCAGCAAATACATTAAAGGATTTTGGGAGCTGGAAACTGGGGAACTGTACTAAAGACAACAATAGCATGAGCTGAAGCATGAGACCATGGTATGTCATCAATCCACCCCATACGTATACCTCTGTTACCTACCATCTGGCCCTCGCATAAGTAGTACAGAACATTGTAAATGAACAACAACAACAAAAAAAATGGATATAAACTCCATTAAAATTTAAACCAAAAAAAAAAAAAACCATGAATTCTAAAAATGTTTAGAGTAAAAGGGAATGTACTAAAATTCAAATTAAATGTAAAACAGAGTGAATGAGGGGCCAGCAGGTGTGCAGTAGTTAAGGGACTGGACTCCCACATGGCCGAATGTGGTAGTTAAGGAACTAGAGACTCCTACATGGCCAACTGTGGTTCAGGTCCCAGACCTGGCAGCTTACTTTCTCACTTCTCTTTCTTTCTCTCTCCCCTCTGCGCGTGTGCACACATGCATGCACACACGTGTGTCCTATGGCAAATTTAAAATAAGTAAAATTAAATAATTCTTTTTAAAAAAATGACAAATGTTACACTTCCAACAAATAGATATTGTTGTAACATAGTAGATGATAGTGATATACTTCCTATTTAAAAAAGAAGTCTAAATATCCATGAACCTTTTCCCTTGTTTTAAAATTCATTTATTAAAGGGGAAATTTCTTCTTTCTCATATTTAGAAAAGTTATATTAAGGAGAGAAAGAGAAATAGCAGAACTGCAAAACAAAACTAAATTGCTTGCAATGAGGATGCCATATTCCCAACTGCACTGCAAGAGAAGAGTTATAGAGCAGCACACTCACTCCCCCATCCAGGGATCCGCCATCCACCCAAATATATACATACACGCACGTAAGAACATACAGACATACATCTGACCATATGCAACCCTTTCTACTGAAAACACAGAAGCATAATAAGAGCTACGAAGAACAGAAGGACGACCGAGAAACCAAGTCGTGTTGCTTAAATGGAGAAGCAAAGTTTGTATTCTCATCAGGGAAGTTTTTATTCCTTTATGGGAAACACACACACACACACACACAATTTTTAAGGTCATATGAGAAGACAATACGGCAAAGCCTAGTGATTAGCATATACTATATGTATTACATGAGGAACAAGAGTCACGTGGGGGTAACAGGGTCAGAGGGACATAAAAGCCCAGGGAGAGTGATTAATCCTGATCTAGGCCACACCTAGAGATTCTGGAGAAAGTACTGCAGATGGTATTTTAACAGGCAACAAATGTGTAGGGTGGCATGTTGTGAAGGGACAGAGTATGCAAACAAGTCAGAGTTTACTCAGTGTTCTAACAATAAGCTGGAGAGTTGATAAGCTATATCCGGTCAAGGCAGGGCATCCCAATGCTGGGAGAGCAATTCACAGGTTCACAGAGCTACCTTAATGTAATTCATAGAATTCGGACCTAAGGAGTCTAAAGTGAAGCCATTCTCTTCTCCCTGCCACTTACTAGCTCACTTAATTTAGGATCTGCTCTCAACCCAACTGTTCGGCATATACCAACTGTCATTACCTACTAAGATTTCCTCACTTCCTTGCTATTTTTACTCTCTAACTGATCATATCTTAATCTATCTTCCTTTCTTCTTTCTTTTTTCCTTTCATTCTTTTTTCTGTATCTTCCCTTTCTTCCTTCCTTTTTGTTGTTTTGTTTTGTTTTGTTTTGGAGAGAGATTTTTGCTATGGGATATGTGTGCTCCCCAGAGAAACAGAGTCAGAAAGGAAAAAAATCATGCCCCAGGGAGGACAGCCACACCACAATCCCTTCCATTTCCACAGTCTTCTATTCTCCTCTTGGGATTTTGGTCACGCTCGTACACCCACCCATCATGACTTGTGAGCCACTAGGCCCAGCCCTCAAACCATGGCCAGCTATGGGGAAGTCCAGAACATAACCATTAAGCCATCTGCTGGTTCCCATATCTTAATTCCTTTTATATTAGAGGAAATTCCATTTTATTGTTCTCCAAAAATTAGGAGACAAAATAACAATGCCAGTAGTAAGCATAAAGAGTGAATGTTGAGAAAACAACTCTGAGATCCAACACGTGGATCTTTTTATCTTTGTGAAAAGGGATTCTCTTCCAGATCCCATTCCCAAGCCCTGCAATCACTTAAAGAATGATGAGTCAAACAAAACCAATTATACTACGTCCTTGAACAACTGCAAAGGTGTAGTCTCCTTCAAGGGCAATAAAATTTCAAGCACTGCTATGGAGATTAGCAGGACACTAAGGGTTTTATTTTTGTGTTTTTTTTCTTTTCTTTTTTTTTCCCCCAGAGCAATTCTCTGATCTTGTCGTTCGTTGTCCTTTCTGGGAAAAGACTACCCAAAGATCCACAGACACAACTCGGCCATGCATGTTTATGCCCGCCTCTCTGTACTGCCTGCATCCAGCCACCTTGCAAAAGCTTATATCTGGTCTAGGCGTCTGATTTCAGACCAAAGACACTGATAGACTAGTAAAGCATTAACCAGGGGCAGGAGAGGACCAAGAAGCAAAGGGAAAGGCCAAATATATCACAGAACATAAAACAGCCTCATGCAATATTCCTAAAGCAAACACACTAATGTCATCCAAACAGCAGGGCAAATATCATGAAGAGGATAAGACTTTTTTTTTGGGGGGGGGGGGGGGTTTTTGCTATAGGGCGCATGCCTTTGCCAGAAAGACAGAGAGACAGAAAGCGAGAAAGCACCTCCCAGGGAGGATGGCCACACTGCAATCCCTTTTCCTCCATTATCCTCTCGGGATCCTGGGCACGCATGCACACACGCCTGATGTGAGTTTAAGCCACCGGGTCCGGGACTTGAACCGGGGTCAGCTACATGGGAGTTCAACAACATAGCCATTATGCTAACTGCTGGTCCTGAGGATAAGACATTTTTTAAAAAGATGAGACAGGGCAGAAAACAAAGGAAGAAGGGCTGGATCTTCTCTTACTGCTTCCTTCTTAGCTCCCAAAGTCCAACATTCTTTTCTTAGTAGTTTTAAGTTATTGTTTCATGGGTTTCTGTGAGCTGGTAACACTGGTCAAAATATGGACTGTCTGGGGCCAACAGAAGGCAAAGCTGTTATGTCACTGGACTCTCACATGGCCCACCATGGATCGAGTCCTGAATCGTGCACATGGGAGTTTAAGCCACCGGGTCCGGGACTTGAACCGGGGTCAGCTACATGGGAGTTCAACAACATAGCCATTATGCTAACTGCTGGTCCTGAGGATAAGACATTTTTTAAAAAGATGAGACAGGGCAGAAAACAAAGGAAGAAGGGCTGGATCTTCTCTTACTGCTTCCTTCTTAGCTCCCAAAGTCCAACATTCTTTTCTTAGTAGTTTTAAGTTATTGTTTCATGGGTTTCTGTGAGCTGGTAACACTGGTCAAAATATGGACTGTCTGGGGCCAACAGAAGGCAAAGCTGTTATGTCACTGGACTCTCACATGGCCCACCATGGATCGAGTCCTGAATCGTGCAGCTTGAAACTCATGTCGGGTGCATGTGCTTGCATGGCCAAGATCCAGGGAGGAGAAGGGATTGTTGCATGGCCATCCCTGCTGGGGAGGTTTGATTTCTCACTTTCTGTCTGTCTGTCTGTCTGTCTGTCTCTCTTCAGTGAGCACACATGCCCTAAGACAAAAACAATTTCTTAAAAAAAAAAAAAAATAGAATGCCTTCAACCAAAGAATATGGCACCAGGCAGCTGAATCTCAATGACTAACTACATGGCTCAAGTCCAAATCCAGTGACATAAAACATGCCAAGCATGTGTGCCCAAAATCCCCAAAGTAGGTACTGCAGTATGACCATGCCTATTATTGGTGCTTTCTCTCTCTTTCTCCCTCTCTCCCTCCCTACCTCCCTCTCTCTGCCTTGGTCTCTCTCTGGAAAACACATGTGCCCTCTGACAAAACTTTTTTTCTTTAAATTATGGCACCATGTACACTGACCATGGCTTCAAAGTGAATGTGTACATACACATGCCTACAACATGCTAAGCTCAGGTAGACGTCCAAACTTCCCTTGATGTTAACTGAATGTATTCTAGTAAAAACCCTACACCTAGGCTTCACTCAAACCTATCTGTGAGCTTCCACATATGCAAATCTCACAGAGTTCTTCAGACAACTTTATCCTATAGCCTAAGGGAAGAAAAACAGCCAGTGAAGATAAAACACCTCCAGGCACCTTAGCAGCTGCACTTCCAATTACTTTCTCAGGGGACTATTACTTGGCAGCAACTTGGGACACTTGTTCAATGGCAAGAGGGAGGAACCACTGGGTGGTAGACAATTTACTA